AATCAAATTAGGGCCTCCTTTCCCTTTCTTTGCTATTTTCAGATGCAGCCCACAGGGAGGGGATCTAGAATGGAAGTGGGAAAATAGGCCTTTTTAGCAGGATTGCGCTTGAATGGAAGTAATTGGGAATCACTCCCACTGCTGAAGGTAGAACCTGAACTCTGGATCCAAAAAAGCTGCACATTAAATAAAAATGCAATGATTTGAGAAGTATTTAAACATGTTATCTAAATGGAAACAGAATAAATAAGACACAGTATTTCTCTAGTATTCTGAGAAAAAATGGTTTAATGAAAATAAACGCTCATTTAAACTTTGATGGTGCAAGAACTCTTAAAAAGTTGGGAGAGGGGGATGTTTATCGCTGTGTTACATCACTTCTTCTTTTAACAACACTCTGCAAGCACTTGGGAACAGAGGAGACCCACTGCTCCAGTTTTCAAAGAGTTTTGAAATAATTTTCCCATTGTTGCTTAATAAAGGATTTCAGCTGCAGGCTGGGCCCGCCACCAACACAGGATTTTGAAGACCGATATGACATGCGGTGATTTAGAAATCCAGTAAATGGGCCGATATTTTTTTTTCTTCAGCACCAGAAACATAAACAGATTTCCCTAATTTCTGCTATGTTTAGTTATTTATGAGTTCTTACTAAGATGACATGACAATGCGGTTTAAAAAATAATCATTTTATTGTCACTAAATGCCGTTGGCTATTCTTGCTCTGCTTGGATCGGCTGGTTTTTCCGATTGTGGCAGGGAACTGGCTGTTATTTGCCGTAGGAATTTGCAGACAATAGACAGTCACCTTCACCACAGTTTCCATTGAGATCCTACCAGAATTGGGAGTTTCTGTATTTGGAGCTGTGTAGCTCTGGGGCAAACAGAACTGGTGCAAAAAATCTCACAAGACTGCTAAATTAGAAGTGACCCAGTATGTAGTATAAATCCTCTGCCAGTTAAAATCAAAAGAGGGCGACATGCTTTATTGAAAATTGATGTAATACTTTATCAAAGACCTTTTTACTACTGCTGTCTATGAGCCAAATTAGACAACTAAAACACTTTTTTTTGGTCTTTGCATACGTAGCTTTTTGGTGACGAGTCTTAACTCAGATGTCTTGTCTCCAACATAAACTTAGGTTACATAAATGCCTGTCAGTACATCCTTTCTGTCTATTTTCTGTCCAGTCCTGTCATTTTCTACCCGGAGACAACCTGTTCTCAGGCTGTGGCATAGCAGCAGGTCAAATTTGTGTTTATGACAGCATTGTGCGCTCCAGCACTGAACACGGTGGAAAAGAACTGCAAACAATGAACCACAAAACATGACCTTCAGGGAGAGGTAGGCTCTGGACAATCTCCCCCCCCTCCTTTCCAAAAAAAGACTCAAATACAGGCACACAAAGTCAGATTTGGTGGGGCCAAAGGGGCGTCTTGTACATGCTGAGCGGCAAATGGTGTTTTGTCAGAAGACTGCTGACAAAGGCAACTGGGCCCTTTTGGTTTGAAACTGGAAGTAACTGAAATACAGCAAAACCAGTGGGACAGTGGCGCTGTATGACAGGATTATAACAGGTAATCCATCAGTTAATAGCAGGTTGAAAAGTAGATTATTTTAAACACAGCAAAATATTTGAAACAGTACAAAGAATAATTAGTTCAACATTCTTATAGAGATCTATGTTTAAGTGGTGTTATTGATCTGGGTGTCACATTCATACAGATTAACTCCCCTAATCCAGGCTTTAACATCAGTCCCGTGTTTTTTAAGTGTCTGTTTAATTTGTTATTACACCATACATTTTTTAAGGTAACTAATAATTATGAATCAGCTGTTATTGTCTTCATCATTAGCATGTATTCAACCTGTCGAGTGACAATTAATGGCACTGACAAAACATTACTATGTATTAGTAGATTATATCTTATTTTTTTGCGATGGCTGCTGTTCAAGCAGACTTGAGTTTAAAACACTAAGTTGAGGAAAACATCAACAACAACAAAGGGAATAAACAGACCAAGATCAAAAATCTGTCTTAGCTCCGCTGGAAAATCTATGTCACCCAGGCCTGGATCAATAATGAAATCAGATGCAAATTGTATTGTATAACACCTCATCAAAGAGAAACATATACGTCCATAAAAATTGTCAATGGGTTAACCGTTTGTGTTCAGTGGTGCAGAATGAGCCCGAGCTTACCCGGAGTTTAAGAGTCGATTGAGAAAGAGGGAATTGCATTAAAAACAGGCAACGAGAGAGGATGATCAATAAAATATCAATCAATAGGCAGGCAAGAGGGTCGGGGTAGGAAAATTGGATGGCTCGAGCCTTCACAGATAATCGAAGACGCTAAGACAAGGGTCCCCACCCCCATCGTGCAACGTCTTTCTTTCTGTGATTGTCACCCCCTCCTTGCTTGTCTCAGTACCCCTCTTTCACCTCTCTTTCTTCAGTGCACCCCCTCCTGCCAGTCAGTACCCCTCTCAGGCTCCCCTTCAGTCCCTCTTCCCTTGATGTCTCTCCACTATCTCACCTCTTCTCCATTTCTCTCTCACTCCCACCCCCTCCACCTCTTTTCTTTTTCTCCAGTGCTCCCCCTCCTTCCTCCCGCGTCTACTGCAGCAGAAAAGCCAGCACCGAGAAAACCAGCATGTGTGTGTTTGTACATGAGTGTGTGTGTGTGATACTACGGTAAATCCACGAGCTAGCCTCACACGATCGCCTGCAATGAAGGTGAAATTGAGAAAAAGCCCCCGCGTGCGTGTCGAACGCTCCGATCAAAACATTGATTGCTGGCGCGTTACATCACAGCCATGCAAACAAACCCCCTTTAAATCATTAGAGTAATGTCTCTCCTCCTGTCTCTCTTTATTTCCTCTCATCTCCCACTTCTTCCCTACGTCTCTCTCTCTCATCTGCCTCGTTGTATTTCCACATCAGCATCTCATTTTCTTTTCTTTATTTTCCCCTGTTTCTCAGCCCTTCTTCATCTCTGTCTCTTCACATGTAATTCGGATCCCTCAGGATTAAAAAGGTTCTGCCACACCGAACAGGACACTTTTAGAAAGAGCAAGGCTGGAATAGAAAAAGGAATGATCTGGGTCACATCGCTGTTTGACGTATGGCACTGGCATATTAGACCTACACAGCAAACTGGGGCTACGTTCGCCCACAAATACAGCCAATGTTTTGCAGGCACTGAAACGAATCCAACTAATCGCACCTTAACACCCATGTAGTATCGCCAACACCACTAACTGCAGCCATTATGCTGAATGAATGTTTTTGTATGATTCATGTGGTCTTTGCCTGTAGATGTAGTGTTTAACTGTACATTGCATAATACAGAGCATAACACACAGCACTCGAGCAACTAGACAGGAGCTACAGTAGCTTGCATCCGAGGTATGGCAACAGCAACAATGACGCCTCCTTTTGCTTGGACCAAATTTGCATGTAAATCCAAACTATGTCTCCCTCCTGTATACATAACTACCCAGGTGAGTTGTTTCTATGGGATGGAGTGGAGGTAGACGGGGTTGGAGTAGCGAGAAATCAATCTGAGAGCAATTCTTAGAGAAGCACTTCCTGCCTGATCCCAAGTCCAGAGAGGCAGATCAGGTGGCCTAAACCCAGACTATGTGTCAGTCACCATCCGCCACTTTTCTCTTCCTCTGGAGGGAACTGAAGTCAGGTATGCAGATCTATACCTGGCGCCAGAAGAGGTGCAAATGTATGTGTGAGTTTTGAAAACAGGGGGAGTGAAGGTATAGTCTCATCTGTGGATAACTGTAGATGTAGTATGTATTGCTGAGTGTGCAGTGATTTATGATTACATTTTCCCCACTCAGCTATTTTCAGCATGATGGCATGAATGCCTGGCCACTGCAGGTGTCTGCCGACTGTCTGGTTTAGAATGTGGACCTACAGTATTCATACATTCCACAGCACCAGTGGTTTCTCGCCTTCACACCTTCAAAACTGAAAATATCACTAGCAGCAAAAGCAGGGAGCAAGAAGAGGATGATCAGAATATAACTCTCGATACACAAAATCAAAGCAGCTGTGATCAAACTGCTGGATATGCCTTTAAGTGAGAGGGGGGAGACCCGAAGCCAAATGTAACTGTTTTCACAAACCCACAGATCAAACCACAGTCGGGGGCACTTGTTACTCTTACACCTGTGTGATCAAATGCCATTAAACAGCTGCTTTTAGCAAGTAAATCATTAACTATTCACATGAAAACAATAAAGGCTATCTCAGCTCAGGAGTAAGTTATGCGTAACAGGAACAAGGACCGTGCGTAAAAGGCATGTAGCTTTCAACTGGAACAAGAAAAAAAATCAGCAGAGTGAAGCACTACCAAGGGCAAATGTGTGAAAAGACATGCAGTACAACACTGAGGTTTCGACGTCGTAAAAGCTTGCTTTCGGCGTCGTGCCAGAATAAATACGACCAACATGAAAAACGGCACAGCGACGTGCATCACAAACGGACAAGCATCACCTAATGAAGGCGTTTGGATGCAGGAGGCGCAGCGGATGCTGCGTTCGGATGCAGATACGCGTTAAACCTGCTGGAGCAGGAGAATGTGACGATGGAAATCATGATACCGAGACAAATGTGGAAATGTGATTGACAGTCTTCACTGTTACTTCGTCTAATACCCATTTACCAACACAGCAGACATATAGTTTCCCATTTTTTGTCTTGCGCTATCAGCATTAATTATTCAATAGCAGTAAGTCTACATACACCAACATTTAACTCGAGCTATACTGTTGGAAATAACACGCCAGCAGTCATAATTCTTCACTTAATTAGGGCTTGATTTTTCTGCTTTTGCAGGTAATGTTAACTGGATGACAAAAAAAAGTTTTTTTAAAACTTATCATGACTCAGGCAGTACTCTGAGATGTCATTAGTCAGAATATGCAACAGTAGCCTATGCAGAAATAAGTTGGTCCCTCTGAAAGAGACGTGGGTAACTCACCCGGGCATATTTGGAGGAATAGGGGTCTTCAAAGAGTGCCCATATTCTGGGTTGCCAGGTTTTCCACCAGCCCGCTTTCCTCGCGTCCTCTTGCATGCACAGTCTTTTCAAGTCCCCATCCGCACCACCCAGCGCCGGGTCGTCGTCTGGCGCGTCCGGTTCTGGAGTCTCGAAGCTATCCAGCGCCTCCTCCGCATCCCGATGCTGCCGGTAATTCATCCAGCAACAAGCCTCCACGTCCGTCTCATCGATGCCCCAGAAGGCCAGCTCCTCTTCGAACAGGGGACCGCACACATCGTTGGGACAGTGCAACTTCCCGGTGCGGTAATAGTTGAGGATGAAGGAAAACACCGACGGGTGGCGGTCGAAGAAGAACTCGTCTAATTTGGGGTCGTAGTCGAAGTTGCTGAACGCGTCCGGCTCGGTGAGCCACGACAAGCGGGTACCGGGCAACGTTTTTAGGGTGCTCCGGTAGGTCTCATGCCGCACCCCCCCGCAGTTTATCACGATTTTCTCGCTTTCCGACGGACAAGTCATGTCTGCGCTGTAACATGCTTTGTTGGACGACTTGTTCCCACCCTTGCGCCCTTTAAAAGAGGATACACACACCGAACTGAGCATAGAGGACCGGGGGGAGGGAGAGGATGAGAGAAACCGAAGGGAGGAGGAGGAGGGAGGAGTCTGAGGAGTCTGCGGGAGAGAAAAAAGGGCAGAAAATTTCAGCAGAAGGGAGAAATAGATGTGGATTATCAACATTGCAATACACATTAAAAATCACACGCTAATGCCAGCTGTATGTGCAATCATTCACTTGATAATCAGCCAGTGGAAGGGAGGAAGACGACCTTGTGCAGGTGCAGAGGGAACAAGGAGAGCAGGGATGGAATTGATGGGTAGCAAAGTTGTTTTTTTTTTTTAAGCACAGCATACCGGAGCACACAAACATGCCAGAGCAATAAACAGGTGGCTTAGAGCACATTCATGAGTCAGCAACCATATGGGCTGACTGTTGACACCAGTGTGATGAGAAGATCCCAGATCCCAGTCTGGAGTTACTGTGCTATGTAGCTTTAGGGTCTCTATACTGATCTGGTTGATGCTCAAGTCAGTGTTCTAACTGAGCCACTCAACTCAGCTTCACCCCTCCTGCACAAATGCAGAAATCCTGTTCCTTTACCAAAGAGTCATGTGTGAACATAGAGGAGAACTGGGGATCTTTCTTATTATCCCCCCGCCTTTCCTCACGAATGCTGCTCTGACACGGTGGTGTGTGTGTGAGTGTGTGTGTGTTAATTGCCTCCCGAGAGTGCGGTGTCCGTACTAATGTTAGATCTCCTCAATCAGCCTATGCGTGTGCTACACACACTGCTGCAGCCCCCTCCGACCGCACTGAGATCCATGCAACGCACAGTTATGCCGATGCTCTCTCTGCTGTTCTCTCTCCCATGTACTCTGTGTGTGTGTGTGTGTGTGTGTGTGTGTGTGTGTGTGTGTGTGTGTGTGTGTGTGTGTGTGTGTGTGTGTGTGTGTGTGAGAGATGACATGCAGGGATAGATAAGAGGAGGGGAGTGAAGTAAAGGTGAGAGGAAAAGGACATAAATCCGATTTTTCTTTCTTTCATTTTTTTAAATTTACCAAAGGGGCAAAAAGGACAGAACAATCAGGAGAACGAGGCTCAGACAATGACCTTAGCAGGGAGAAAGGGTGATTTTTGGAGAGAGGGGTGGAAAAAAGAGACAAAGTGAATGCAGCACTCTCACTGGGGGCATTTACAGCGAACAGCTACTGTAATATTGTCTCTCCTCTAGTAATGGAAGAAGGGGGTAGAGGAGAGTGTGTAAGGGGGCAGGAGGAGGAGGAGGAATTGCAAAGGAGAGTGCTCTATAAAAGTGAATGAATTCTGCTGCAGTAAAAAGCCAGAGTTATTTGCTCGCGCTCTCCCTCTGTTTCTACTCCAGGTGAGGTCGGATTGTTCACCCACAGGCTGCTCTGCCATCCAGAGGGGCTCGCGATGTTTCAGAAAAGCCACGTGATGGCAGCCGCAAAGGCCGTACCTGCACCACATCCATGTTGTGAACCTTTTTTTTATAGTCAAGGAAATGCACCACTCTCCTCCTCCCCCTCCTTTCCTGCAAGCTCTTAGTAGCCCTCCCTCCCCCCCACCGTCTGCCTAGTTCGACTCTCTCCCTCACTTTGTCTTCCTCACTTGCGCTCACATTCCGCATAAAGGAATCACATTTCATTGGAGGAAGGGGATCGGGGCTTCACTTCTTCTTCTCAAGTGTACCTGTCCGTCTCTGTCTTTCTCTCCAGTTCTTTCTACTACCCCCCTCCCTGTTTTCATTTACTCACTGCAGTCCTACAGTCTAATTCTCTCTTCTCTTCCATTTCTCTCGTCTTTGACTTCGCTCACCTCTTCCTCTCTTTTTCTCCTTTTCCAAAGTAAGCTTCCTTTCCTTCGGCTCCATCCTTTCCTTCTCCTTCCCCCTCTTACTTTTTGCTATCTTTCACACGGGATGCCACTTACTATGTGTCTTTCGCTTTGCTAGAGTTTAATCCTGTTCTTCTTGTCTGAAGGAGCAACTTTTTGGTTGTCCATGGAAAAGTTTCCTGTGTCTTGGCAACACTCAGGTAAGATCCAGCAAAATCAAGGCTACTGCATGGATTAAGCACTAACTGTGCACAGGAGACAAAAACTTAAAGTAATACATCCTAAGTTCACAGATCAGAAAACAAATCAAAGTGTTAGATGCCTTAAGTTTTTTTTTTCTGTGGCAGTCTTACTTCTTTGCAGTTTTGTTTTTCTGCTGTTTTTTGGTTTGTTTTTGGGTGCAGGAGCATTCAAACTGCTTACTTGACAGAAAAGAAAGAAAAAACTGTGAATTTGTTAGTTGCACTGCATTATCGTGCCAAAGTACTTTTAGTTTGATGCTTTAAATAGAGCCTGAAGAAATATCTGCAACAAACAGAATGTTTGGAGTGATGAGGTCAGAGAGGGAGAGTGTAAAAAGATCTTAATCCACAGTCAGCTTTGTCCGGTGGGGCTTCCCAGCAGAGAACACTTGTGTTGTGGGGTGGATTATTTTTCAGCACCACGGACAGCGGCACTCTTTCACTCTCTCTGCTCAGGAACTTTTAAGAAGCAGCTTCTGTGAACTCCCTGTGAAACTTCCATCCTTTAAATAACTTTTTGCGTTGTTGCCATTTTAACTTTGACACATCGTGCCCTGACGTGTTCTTCACAGGCAGTCATGGGATATAGTTGAACTTCTGAATATTTTATACGTGGACAGCCGCAAGCCTGTCACTGCAGTTAAATGCCTTTTTGTTCCCTCACACTTAAACATGGTGGGACTATTGATTCTCATTAACCATTCTTTCATGTACCAGAACGTGTAGGTTAAGTGGGAAAGGGCTCAGCTGGGTTCTCTCTCACACTCTTTTGGGGAATTGTTAAAGCCTTTAAGTTTGAACTTGAGCTAATGTTGCCATCATTGTGACAAGATTGCCTGTAAAGAGTTTAGAGGTGAGGTGAGTGCTTTGCATTTCAGTTCAGCTTAATACAGGGGAGGTAAGCACTTCTCTTTAAGAGTTAGCATCAGCACCTTCAGCACTGACAGCAGCAGCACAAAAACACACGGAAGGGGGGGGGGGCTAAAAGTGGGGAAGTAAGGCTACAGAAGGTGCAAAATGAAGAAAGTAAAAAAGCAGCGGTTATTAAAAACAATGGTGGAGAGAAAGAAGAGAGAAAGGTTAGAGAAAGAGGATAAAAATTGAAGGAGAAGCAAGTAGGAGGAGGGGGAGAGTGCTGAGGGAGCAAAGTGAAGGAACAATCCCCTCGCCTCCTCTCTCCTCCCCTCCAGCATCACTACTTTCTTTCTCCTGCAGCTTTTCCTGCCTTGGCCACCATGTCCTGCGCCACCCTGCTACTACTGCCTCACCACTGCACACATACAGAGGGGGAAGAAAGCGAGAAGGAGAGGGGAATGAGGGAGGGAGTGAGGGGAGGGGTACACTCACACTCACACACACACACATGCTCACCTGGCTACAATGAAAAGACTGAGAAAAAACACACACACACATTTTGGAGCCGAAAAGCAACTTAATTTTCTAAACCTTTTAGGGCAGGAGATCACGTCTGCAGATAGATATGGAGAACGGGTCTCAGAGAGGAGGAGCGCACGCGCGATGCTCGTGCACAAAGACTGCACTGACGCTAATATATATTAGCAGAAACACTGCAGCAAGAGGGGGAGGGAGCACGAGATTATGGGATGCATTGACTGTGAGGTACCAGCAGCAGCACCGGGGGGATGGGGGGGGGG